TCGAGCCCCGCTGTGTCACAATTTGAGCACCGCCCGGTATGTATTACACGTCACACTTCTCGTGACTTCAGCTGCTTTTGACGTGCGTCCGACAAGCGTAAAAAGCGTCCACGTGAACGAACCACTGGGCTCCATACCGTGAAACCCACTCTAAAAAGCCGCTTACGGCAGCCGTGGGCTGTGGAGCGTCTATGGCAACTGTATGTGCTGCCATGGCTGAGGGGGCGTGTCAATGTATTGCGGCACCGCGGCGTACGGTTTTCCGCGAACCTCTGTTTATGGACACTAGGCAACTGTGCGTTGGTAGCGCGAATCTTTTACGGGTGTCTGGACTGTCTGGATACTCTCAAACCCCCACGTCATGAAAGATCGAGCGGCTGACAGGAGGTGTGGCTCGCCGGTCGCGAGCCGCCGACCGGGCCTCTCACGCTGCATATGTGGCCGCAGTCCAGCCGTCCTGCGAATGGGCGAGTCGCAAGTCGACCCGAGCCCGTCCCGTGACCTCGCGCCCGTTGACTGGACCCCGCAGCGCACTGCGTGGCCTCGGCACAAGAGTTACGACTTTATCTGTCACGCCTATAGAATGGCACTTTAAATCGTTATCTACGACTCGAACGATGAAGTCATGCCGGGCCGCGGCCAAGTTAAGATGCATGGCCGATTTGCATGTGGTATGGCGAGCTCCCGACCTCACGGATGGCCGCCGGAGGGCGGCTGACCCTATCAGCGGGGTGGATGGAACGTACCGATCCAATTAGGTGAGCCTCTGCGACCTCTGACCTAATGAGCGTGTTACTCCGCCGCTGATGAATAGCAGTATGGAGATGTGGTGCGGGCCTTTTTAAAATGAGGCGCGATCTGAGCACGGGGAAAAGCGCGTCCACGCGCTCCTATTATGGGCGCGTGAGATGTGGAGCAGCGCCGTTGATGGGCGCATTGTTCGCCGCTGGTCTGTCCGTCCGGCCGTCAGCGAGGCGATGGAGCACGCGCCGGCGGCCCCAATGCATCCCAAAGGCAGACGCGGACACCGAGCTGACACCGGGCTGACACCGGGCCGAAATCGAGACCGGGTCGAACCCGGACCGATACTGGGCTGACACTGGACCGACATCGCACTGACACCGGAATAAGGCTTGACGAACATTCGCTTGCCACAGGACTGACACAGGGCCGAGACCGAAAACGGGTCGGGAGCCGCCCAACACCGGACTGGCACGTGGCCGACATCGGGGCGACAACGAGCCAGCCAACACGGGACTGATGACCGCCGAACGGACACCAGAGTACCCTCAGACCGGTGGCACGGACCAGCTCCTGCTGTACCGAGCTGCGCCGCTGAACGGGCGCCAGAGTGACCTCAGACCGATGGCACGGACCAGCTCCTGCTGTATCGAACCGCGTCTCTGAACGGGCGCCAGAGAAACCCCAGACCGATGGCACGGACCAGCTCCTGCTGGACCGAGCTGCGTCGCTGAACGGGCGCCAGAGTGACCCCAGACCGGCGGCACGGACCAGCTCCTGCTGGACCGAGCTGCGTCGCTGAACGGGCGCCAGAGTGACCCCAGACCGGTGGCAAGGACCAGCTCCTGCTGCCCCGAGCCGTGCGACCGCCTCATCGGGCTGACACCAGACGATGGTGGACGACACTACGGGATTGTGACACTACGGCTGGTACGGGACTGACAGCGAACCGACACCGGACCCACACGGAGTCATGGACGACACTACGGGATTGTGACACTACGGCTGGTACGGGATTGACAGCGAGCCGACACCGGACCCACACGGAGTCCGGTGTCCACCGCATGACTGACAACTGGATACTGGCCTCAGACCAGATCATCACCGCGGCTGTTCATGGTTTTCCGTCTGGTCAGCGGTGTCAGCGCGATGGCCGCGTTCACACACGCACATGCACACACACACACACGTGCCGCAAGTCGGTTGCTTATGCCCCAGATGAATGGGGCCGCCGATCTGCCCGCATCAGTCGGAAGCGTTCGTTGCGGGCTGGTCTGACCTTTGCTGTTACGAACGGCGTGTTGGCTATTTCTTCCTATTGGAAGACATCTGACTGATAAACAGTGGTCGTCGACGTGAGCCAACCCGCCTCGTTAAATGAATTGGTGACGACATCGCTTTTTATCCATCGTCTGAAAGCCTCCGTGAGCCCATCGATTAACCATGTGTTGCAATGTTCTCCAAACATCCTTCAGCGTTGTTTACGAGATGCGTGTTTGTTAACCCATTCAGGAGAGAGCTGTGCGGAGCGCGACGGTTGGTGTTGACGGATCCTCTCTTCACAACACCGCCTCAGTCACAATGTGCTTGAAATCTGCATACGAATGTGCTTACCGCGGGATGCCCTACATGCGACCAGCATATAACAGATGGTTAGGTCTTATGACCGTGGAGCAAATTAACCGGGTGTGTGAACGACCCAGTGCAACTAACCAGAATTTGGTATGTTGGTCATATAGTTGTAATTTCCGCCGGACTGGGACTACATGCCCAGCGTGCTCGGAACACCCACGTCTTCTCCTCTGTGTGCTTTAATGTGCACTGACTGATAATATGATACACTGTCGAGATTGTCGTAGATCGATAACGATTGTCGTAGATCGATAACTACGTGATTACAGTGCGTTTAGCTCTCCCGCCAGGCCCATGAGACCCAGATGCGGGACAGTGAGAGGCGGCTGTGGCGTCCACCATAGCTACGGAACACGTGGAGCAGTCACGTGACGCCCTCTGAGCCGTCCACCACAGCCGTGGAACACATGGACCAGTCACGTGACGCCCTCTGAGCCGTCCACCACAGCTGTGGAACACATGGACCAGTCACGTGATGCTCGTCAGGCTCTGAAATAGTCTAGATCTGTCCACTACTGGGTCTGGTTAGGTCTGACCTGCATACTCCTGACATGCTCCGTTAAACGGATGCTGGCTGACGTTCAACAGAGAACACTGCACCACGCATCAGCGCAAGCGTGATGACATTACGGCCATCTGCGTCACGTTCACGTGGCGGTCGGCGGTCGTCTTGTATATTCGTCATGGCTTGGGTATTCAGATGTCCATCCCAGCCGCCTCAGAGCGTTATTATTCATTTGGAAACGACATATGTTGAGCGGGTTTAATGGCATATGTGTTCGCGTCGCTGGTATGTGAGTTTTTGGACGTGCGGACGGACCTGCGCAAAAAATCGGTATGCAGCACATTTTAGAGCTCTTCACGAAAAATCATGCATGGATTTGGATCCATTTCGCTCAGCATGATGGTTGCATGATCAACACGGCTATTCGGCGCGCGTCCGTCATCTCATGCATGAAAAGCTCGCGAGAGATTTCACGGAGCATCTGTCGGAACTGGCAGATCAGAACTCACACATTTTCCTTGTGCCCACCCGGCTCCGTCGCTGCAGGCATCACAAGCACGCAACCGCCATTCACGACGGCCCCAATTTCGCTTTCCTATTGTCCACGTGGGCAGAGAGGCGCGCCTCTGTTTAATCGTGACGCTCCGCCTGAGAGTCCGCGCTTTTCACTCCTGTCACGCGACCCCGGGCGTGTGAACGGGCCGGGATAAATCAGCCGGCCGTCATGTCTCGGCCGCCGGGCGTGGGTGCCTCGCGCCGCCGCGTCCGCCGCCGCCGGCTCATGCAGATTTCATGGGCGCACTTGTTCCCAGCGGGCGGCGATGTTCCGCCAACGAAAGCTCTGCGTCAGAGGACGCTGCGTGACCCTCAGAATCTGAAGCGCCTGTTCGGCGACTGTTTTCACAGGCGGCGCGGCGCGGCGGTGTGCCCGGTGTCGGTAGCTGTCGGCCGGCGGTGTGCCTGGTGTGGGCAGCTGTCGACCGGCGGTGTGCCTGGTGTGGGCAGCTGTCGACCGGTGGTGTGCCTGGTGTAGGTAGCTGTCGGCCGGCGGTGTGCCTGGTGTGGGCAGCTGTCGGCCGGCGGTGTGCCTGGTGTCGGTAGCTGTCGGCCGGCGGTGTGCCTGGTGTCGGTAGCTGTCGGCCGGCGGTGTGCCTGGTGTCGGTAGCTGTCGGCCGGCGGTGTGCCTGGTGTCGGTAGCTGTCGACCGGCGGTGTGCCTGGTGTCGGTAGCTGTCGACCGGCGGTGTGCCTGGTGTCGGTAGCTGTCGACCGGTGGTGTGCATGGTGTCGGTAGCTGTCGACGGACGGTGTGCCTGGTGTCGGTAGCTGTCGACGGACGGTGTGCCTGGTACGGGCAGCTGTCGGTCGGTGGTGTGCCTGGTGTCGGTAGCTGTCGACCAGTGGTGTGCATGGTGTCGGTAGCTGTCGACGGACGGTGTGCCCGGTGTCGGCCGCCGCTCCCCGTCGCACCGTTTTCAGTACTCCGCACCGCGGGCCGGCCGGCCGCCGCGCTGGTGGGTGCCGCCGGTGCCAGATAAGGTGTACCGGCGCGCCTCTGGTTACGGGGCGGCGGCATCTGCGGTTGCGCCACGCCGCCGCCCCCGCCATGCGGCGACCGCCGCGGCCTGACGGGTCAGACAGCTCGACCCGAACGGCCCTCCGCCGCGCTACTCTCACCCCGGAGCGGCAGTGGCGGTCTCGGCCGGGCGGGTCGACCCGGCGCTGACTGCCGCGCCGCCTGCGCTCGGTCGGCGTGCCACAGTCTGAACGGTGCTCAGCGGGATGCCAGGCCTCCCTCAGGCTATTCTGGAATGCAATTACTCAGTATGTGCCGCTGCAGCGCAGAGCTGTGCCTTACACCTTGAGTGCGCGTAATCGGCCACGGCGGGGCTGCGGCAAAGGCCTACGCCTTAGTGCAATGCTGCTATGCTATGTTGATGTGTTGCAAAATGCTAAGCATGCAGATTTTGTATCTCTCCTTCCACTTTCACGCCTTTGAGGATGATAATGTTTAAAAGCGACGTTAAGGGATCGAATTATTGATTCTGATGTCTGGCGGTAACTTGATGACGACTTTTGGTAGACGAACTACGATTTCTATTATACCGACTTTTTTGTTTCAGGTGCCAGGCATCTAGAATCCCGACGAAGACAGGAAGTTTGAAGAGTGTGCTGCCTTCAGCGCTTGCAATGTATGGACGGGCTTAATCTGTGATGCGCACAGACTGAGCTTATGAAAGAGCTCAAACTCCAAAATCCAGGCTCTCAAATGCAGACGTGAAGACCTCGGACTTTTTTCAGTGCTCTAGTGAATAAACGTGTTCGAACAGCTGGATCCAGTCTTGCAGAAAACAACAAGATTAGCCCACCTATCGCATACAGACGAATCTTCAAACAGAGGTAAGCAAGTACGGTGCGTTGCATCCTATTCTCGCATTTATTGAGGCTCGAGTCGACGCTGAAAACATTTCAAGAACTATTTAGTATGCAGCGATGATGTAATGGGATACACTATGTACTGTTACGGTGGGTTATGTACTGTTCAGTGTACTGTGTACTGTTCAGTTTGAGTTATGGTGGGAGTTATGTTAGAGTTTGAGTTATGGTCGAATAGCTTAAACCCGGATACCATTAGACTCATACTCCATTAAAAGTTTGAAAGAGCTTGTAGCGTATCACTTTTCATGATGAGACTTGATGTTGAGTTTGCTCAGCGAGATGCGGAAAAAATGGTCATATTGATATTGGATTATCATTACAGGGTACATCCCCTGTCCGTGTAGTCCTGTGCAAATGCAAACCTTACTACCTTCGTGTGTGTTGCTTGGGTTGGATATTATGTGAGATTATTTCCGTGCCCAATATTCGCCGATTACTGTTTGTTGAAATGCCGGGGCTCAAACGCTGACCCGGGATCGTCCCATCCCAGCGAGCTAATGATCGCTACAATCGAATACATCGAGCGCCTCTGTAAGAGTTGGGCCGGGCAGATAGTCTGTCCAGCTGATGACTATGTTACGTGGCCCCTTGCGATTGGAACAATCCATTACTGCCGGTGAGTCGCTGAATCAATTACTGGTGGCCGGTGATGGCTGGCGGCGCCCCAGCCCCGGCCTCGGCTCGGTGACAGTGCGGATGACGGGCCGGCCGAGTCGGAACAGCATTCTGCGACCCCTGACGACCCGGGGCGCGGAGGAATGGTACCCGTCGGCATGTAGGTCGAAGGGTCGGTCCTTCGGAACCGTCTGTTATCCCTTCAGCTTGTCCCGAAAACAGCAGATATCGCCCTTCTGTGGAATGGTCATCATCGATCACACATCTAAACCGCGGGGTTCCAGCTGGCTTTCTTGACACGCTACGCCCGCACGCAGCCGAATCACGCACGTTTGTCGGTCTCTGCTAGAGTTGGGCATTTGGGTTGGTTAGATTCGAATAGGCTCAGATGGGTTCAAATCTTGCAAATACTCAAACCCCAAAAAGGATATTTCGAACTCTGAAAATCTGCATTGGAATTCTAAAATCGCACTGAATCCTGGAAGCCATCATCGACATATACCATTAAAAGCATTCAGTAATACCTAGTTTTATATCTCCTTCAGATGAACTAAATTACAGCACGCGCACATCTGTCGGCTCTACACTGAACGGACTCATCTGTTCTCTTTTCGTAAGCTGTAACATTTCGAGATTTTGATCCAAAAATTATCCAAACATATTCAACTTTTGGCTCCAGAACCGACTCGAAATCCGAGTTTCCTTTCCTCGAGATTATAACCGGAAAACGTTGCGTGTCGTCAGGTCCAATTAAGACCCTCGCCTCGCAGGTCACCTGTGCCGGGCCATTCCATGCAGTGCAGCGCTCGAATCGCCTTCATCACGCAGATCCCGGGCGCCGAGGCTGGTGTCAGTGGTAGTCGCTGCAACCAATTCGAAGGGTACGCTGGCCATGCTGAGGCGACATTGACCTTGCCGCCAGGTCAGGGGGAAACGAGACTCCGGCCACCGCGGCGTCTCGACCCCTGAACTCCTGGGATGCTTCGCGGGGCTATTTACGCGACTGCGGAGCGACTCACGCGCAGTTTTGTTCCGCCGGTTATAGGTGCTAATTACAGTGCTACTGATGGTCCCGCCTGTTTGATGCCGGGTGCAATCGAAACCCGGGTTCCTCAGATGAGCGTATGGACGTTGGCGGCGGATATTGGGACCTGTAGCGTATCGCCCCTCCAAAGGTTATCTAATGAGTCAATGTTCTAGAAAATCCGTGTTCTGCTATACAGCGCCAAAAGCTTCAGGGCTGATATAAGCTCGGGTTGCATTGCTAGGCAAGCATTTGAGCAGCAATAGCTCTGGTTCAACGAACGTATTGCTACGTCAACAGTTTTGTCTTTGCTTTGACGCGTCATTACTTGACATACCACAATGGCTTGGGCAGGGTCGGATGGGCCATGTTCTCCCATTTGTCTGCCCGATTGCTGGAAGAACGGGCCGAAGGCTCTCAGGTAATCGAGCGTCCGGTACCCGTAATGACTAGTCTGCTCCACCCTCTGTTTGTCGGGGATAATTGGTTATCCGGTTAGCAAATTTGGCAGGCACGCTGTGTGCGCCAGTACCTCTCAAACGACAGTGAAAACGTCAAACCTCGGTATTAGTAACCAAACTTGGGGTCACGTTAGAATTCGGTTAGGCCTCGAGCAATGAGTTTTGTGCGAGGCTTTCGTGCGAACTTACTCACACGCTAACATGCGCTGAAAGCTCGGCTCAAGAAGATAAGACTCGCAATAGCTCTTTATGCCTGTATTTTAATCCAAGTGAGGCTGGAGGGAATAGCTCGACTCACTAATGGTACGATTCTGTTGTTGTGTCGCCCACAGGCGCCTTGATGGCCCAGGGTCGGATATGAATGATGCGTCCTTTTGCGAAATGAACGCCTGATTGCGACTGATTTAATGACGAATTCATTACCTCGTATCGGCCTGCGCGGTTACCAACGGAGCAAAGGCCATTGATCGGGTAATCGAAGGCATTCCGGACCTGGAAGCACTCCTTCACACAAACGTTCGTGCTCGTCCTCAGAACGACAAACCATTCATTATCAGCTCAGAGCTGAGTTTGATGTGGGGGGCCTCACACAGAGCCCGTGCATGGGCTCACCCATGGGGCATTATCTGCGGCATTGGGCGTCGGGCTCGGCTGGAACGCTGCGGCTGTCTGTACGGGTGACATCTCGCTCTGGGGAGGGGAGGCGCTCCACGCTGATTGGCCGTCACGCGGGACATGTCACGCGACACCGGGACCGGGCGTGTGTCGCACCACCCCGGTCCGGAGGACGGGAGGGGCTCGCCGGACACTTGAGCCCGCCCCTCTGGACGCTGCACCCTGACCGGTCCGCTGATCGATGTGCTGTCCATCCGGCTGGACAGTGTTTGCTGGCATCGGGTCACCCCAGCCCGGCGTCTGCCGGACGTCGGACCAGCACAGCCCCCGTCTCTCACGCGTCGGGCCAACAGACGCCACAGTCAGTACGGCCGTGTCAGGGCAACCTGGCCTGGTGGCTGGTGGGGAGTCCGCATGGTGGCTGGTTAGTCACTAGACGTTGTTCCGGCTGGTCTGTCGTATGGCTAGCTCAGGTTGGCCCATTCGTGCACAGCAACCTTTTAGATGTAGGTGCATACCTCGCAGTCACAGCGCTCAGTAAACGTCTCAGTCACAGCGCTATGCATACTCGGCAGTCGCAGCGCTCTGCATGTTCAGCAGCCACAGCGCTCTGCATACTCAGCAGTCACAGCGCTATGCATGCTCAGTAGTCACAGCGCTCTATATAGCAGCCACAACGTTCTGCATACTCAGCACTCACAGCGCTATGCATACTCAGCAGTCACAGCGCTATGCATACTCAGCAGTCACAGCGCTATGCATACTCAGCAGTCACAGCGCTCCACATGGCAGCCACAGCATTCTGTGTGCTCAGCAAGCAGCCACGGCGCTCTGCATACTCAGCAGTCACTGCGCTCTGTATACTCAGCAGCCACAGCGTTCTGTTTATGCCGACCAGCCACTGCAGGAGGTCTGGCCGGCTCCGGCGTAGTCCAGATAGTCAGACCAGGGGCCCCGACCTGAGCCGATGTGTCAAGATAATGTCGTAGGTGCGTGCGGTAACACCGCTAACGAGACTGAGTCGTGCGTCGCGGTATCATCTTAAACCGACATCCCACCTGACACATGTCAACCGGGTGTAAAGGTCATCGTCTGTTGGACAAATCGGACGTCTTCCGTCAGACACACCGGCATCGTCTGTCAGAAGTGACACGCCGCGCACGTGTGGCGACGTTCGGTCAGATGGCTGGGCCGGTGGACGGCGGCGTGCACTGTTCCACATCGTCGATGAACGGCGGCGTGCACTGTTCCACATCGTCGGTGGACAGCGGCGTGCACTGTTCCACATCGTCGGTGGACAGCGGCGTGCACTGTTCCAAATCGTCGGTTGACAGCGGCGTGCCTTGTTCCAAATCGTCGGTGGACAGCGTCGTGCCTTGTTCCAAATTGTCGGTGGACGGCGGCGTGCACTGTTCCACATCGTCGGTGGACGGCGGCGTGCACTGTTTCACATCGTTGATGGACGGCGGCGTGCACTGTTCCACATCGTTGATGGACGGCGGCGTGCACTGTTCCATATCGTTGATGGACGGCGGCGTGCACTGTTCCACATCGTCGGTGGACGGCGGCGTGCACTGTTTCACATCGCCGTACCCGCCACTCAGCATTGCTACGTCTGACCAGCGCAGCCGGCTTCACTCACGTGGGTCTCGAATAACGCAGTGCGAACTAACGAGAACTGAGCTGCTAGAGGCTGGGCAGACAAGGTGGACGCTCCATTGATGGCGTCTTTTTCGCAGAGACGGTATTGGGAGTTCAGTTGAGAGAAGTCGACACTGATACACTGAATTTCCTCTGTTTAATTCATGCATGCTCGCTCTCGGGATGATCTAGAAACCACTGATCACACCAAGGGCAGGAAAACAGATTTTAAACAATTCGTAGAACGGTTACTAACGACACTGATGTTCAGTGAACCGGTACGACGATCTAAATATGATCTAAATCACTCTTCGCTCTGTTATCTGGGCTTAGCGGCCGGTGGCTTTGAACATTTTAATGAGGTTGAAGATACGTGCCATTATGGTTAAAACTTGCTGTGTATTTAGAGGAGCCGCTCCCCTCCCCCTCCCCCCCCCCCAACCATAGTGTTCCCTGGCCTTAGCACTGGATCTTTAAAAGCTGGGTAGAAGTGCTTCACATGACATGACAAAGTGCTCTTCTCCAGACCCTGTTTAACAGTTCCACTGGTGGCTGCTGCTCATCGTACCATGGCTTAGCTGGACGACCTACTGCTGCCTTATGAC